AAAGAAGGAAAGAAAGGAAAGAAAGAAAAAGGGAAGGAAGGAAGGAATGAAGGAAGGAAGGAAGGATCATCTGCAAAAATGTCTGAGGGCTTTGTGATCTTGAGTGAACATGCATTCCCCTTCATCTCCATTAGAGGGCAGTAGAAAACAGTCAGCATACTTACAAAAGAGTCAATGGTACTTACAGTCACCTGCAACTGCAATCTGTAACAGAAAGAAAGAAAAAAGGAAGTCAGTCAACCCACTGGGCTATGGAAAATGCAAACCAGGGGGGGGAAAAAAGGCAGTTGAGAATTTCACAGCTGGGGGAGAAGGTGGGGGCCACTGCACCAGGTTGGAGTTGGATGATGGAGCTCTAAGGTTCCTTTCTAGCTAGCTCTCTGCTCTAGCGCCGCTGCTCCAAAGCCCAAGCAAAAGTATTGGAGCATTTAGTCATTAGGTCCTCGGACTTAGAGCCAATGTGCTTCAGCATCAAAAGGACTGGCTCTGAAGTGAGGGCCTGGGTTCAAATCCCAGCTCAGCCACTTATGCCTGTATGATATTGGAAGTAGCTCCTCTCTCTAGTCCTCAGTTTACTCATCTGCAAAATGAGGAGGTTGAACTAGAGGACCTCTACTGTCCCTTACAACTCTAGATCTATGATCCCATGATCTCCAGTGGTTCCCATTTTAGTGGTTCACAAGGTGGCCCAAGATGGTCCTGCTACAAATTCTTTCATGGCCCCCTAAGCAGTAAATACACGCAGAAATGATGAGTCCTATATTAAAGTGCCCCAGGGATTTCACAACGCTTTGTTGTTGTTGTTGAAAGAGGTTTGAGGAACAAAAACCATTGAGAACCTCCTGAACTCATTCTTCAAGGATCTAGTTGAACTCCTTCATTTTATAAGCCAAGGTCAAGAGAGGGGAAGGCACCCAGGAGAGGCAGAAGAGAGGCGAGGTCCGAGCCCCCTGCAAAGCCAGCCTGCCTGCCACTCTCCTCCCTGGCATCGTATCATCACAGGGGTGCAGAGGGAGACTCGGGATTTATTTCCAAAATATCACCCGAGGGAGAAGGCAGACACAGAAAAACCTTGGACAGATTAAGAGGTATATGAACTCAGCGTAAACCGCTTCTCCAGGTTCTCACCATATTTTGAAGGACGCAGAGCAGAGCGTAACTGAGAGGAAATCTCATCTTTAAATTTTTGAGTGGACACAGCTGTAGCTTCCTTGGAGCCAGGAGGATATGAGTTCAAGCCCCACTCTGACCAATGGCGGCTGAATGACATGGGCAAATCATCTAACCTCTCAGTGTTTTGGGGCCGTGTGAAACTCATAAAGAAAGTCCATGAGGATCCCCGTGGGTGGCACGTCGACTTAGAAAACCACCAATTACCCTTATCTGTCGCATTATATTTTTATTTATTTTGTTAAACATTTCCCAATTACATTTTAATCTGGTTCAGACCTCACTCATTACTGACCAGCAGCAGGCTGGTTCCTCTTCTCTAGACAAGCTGCTAAGAGAATGAGGAGCAGAGAAGGTTCTGGCTTCCACCAGCAAGGGGCGGGAGTTTCCTCATCCAGGAGCAATCACAGGCCAGGCCCTAAGCCTTCACATCCGTCCTCCATTCAAATACTCAAATGGATCTCTAGTCTCACTGACTCAAGAGTTCCCTCCTACAATACAGATGGCAGCTGTAACCATCCCTGTCTGCTAGTCCTCTGAGACTCGTATACACATACTCCCAAAAGGTCACTCCAGGCTTCTAACCCCCCAGTGTCCTGGAGCCCTTCCCGGCTCTCTCCTGACTTGGGAGGTACCATGGAACCCTGGAGCTGCCTGCCACCTGTCATCCCTCACTCTGGCCATGTGCCTGACCCCTCTTCTTTTCTCCTCTGCCATCCTGGCAGAGATGCCAAATTCATATTCCCAACCCTCTCCCCCATGCCCTCTCCTTCTCACCTTAGAATACCAGGCGGCTTCCTTCAAAGCCAAGTTCAGGGGCCACCTCTACAGGAGGCCTGGCCTGATCCCTATAGTTGTTAATATTCTGTGACCTACAAACTTACTCTGTATTTATTCCATATCTATCTCATAAATATATATACACTGTCATATATATGCTATTATTTTGTCCCAGCAAAATATGTTAGCTCCACAAAAGCAGGGACAGTTTGACAGTTTTGATTTCATCTTTGAATACACAATGCCTAGCCCAGTGCCTGGCCCATAGTAGGCATTCAATAACGGTCTGTTGAACTGAATTGAAATTGGTGATATTTAATTTCCCCTCCAACGGGGGGACAAACTCCTAAGTGCCTCATTTCCTTCCTTCTATCAGCAGATGGCAGCAACCGATGCTTTTTTAAAATCGATGAACCAAAAGCAGAAATCAGAGCATTTTGTTGCTGCCCCGACCTGGGAGATCAGCGATTGTGCACTCTTATGGCTAGACATGAGGACCTTGAAGACCAGGGAGGTCGAGTCGTTTGCATAAGGTCACACAGCTAATTCATAGGATCAATGAGACCAGAACCACAATCTGGTGAAGCCTTCAGACCCCTTCTCAGAATCATGTTTCCAAATGCATAAAATACAAAGGCTTATAAAATTCCAATATAATTATAAATTATACTGAAACATAGGTATCAACATGTGATTAAAAGCAAGTTCACAGACCTCAGGTTAAGAATGTCTGGCCTAAATGATCTCTAAGATCCCTAAAGAGGTGACAAAAATTTGTCCAAAGCTTTTAAAAAAGAAAAAATGACACCAAGCCTCCACAATCAGTTAAATGAAGGCCTGGCTTCTCAAACTTAATCAGGAGCAGGGGTGAAAGCAAATCTATATGAGGGGGTACTTTTAAAAAAAATCTAGTGTTCTCACATTGCATCCTAATGTAACAAAGCAGAAGGAGAAGTTGGCTGAAGGCCTTCCCAGTAGCACTTCCTGTAGGGATGGCCTCACTTACTTCCCCTTCCAGGGGGCCCAAAGAGCCTCTGGGGGTTAGGAACAAAGAAGGAGCCCTCCCCACTCACCTTCCCCAGAAAGCCCTCACACCCCCAAGCACATTTTCAATGGCCAAAGCATACTAGTTTGGAAAGTTCTGATGGCAAGAGAAGGGACAAGCAGGCAGGACAGACCAGAGGGAAAGCCGCCCTCCAACCCTGCCTCGGTGTGCCCCCGCCACCACTCACCAGCCAGTTTTAAGTAGCTGCTTATGCTACAGGGTAAGAATAGGGCCTTGCCCTTAGAACATGCTAGTCAAACTCCCGCCTAAACAGAAATCCCATCTATGTTATCCCCTCCCAGGGGCACTCTGGCCTTGGTCTGAACTCCCCAGAGAAGAGAGAACTAACATGGTTGTCCCCCCCCACCCAGCCCAGCAACCCATTCCACTTTTGGATGGCTCACTGGTCAGAAGCGTTTCCCTTCCCCAGTCCTAACTCTGCCTCTTGGGAGCATCTCCCCAATTGCAGGGCATTGCTCTTTGCTCCAAGTTCTGCCCTCTGAGGCCTAGCAGAAAAAAGTCTGAGCCATCCTCCGGGGTATAGCCTTTCAAATGCCTCCGGACAGCTCACTCCACTTCCAACTATGCTCTTCTGCAGGATACTCAAAATAGCCTCAGTTCCTTCAGCCAATCTTCACATGGCATGGACCCAAGGCCTTGCTGAATTCTGGTTGCCCTCCCCTCTGGACGCTCCAACGGCTCAACACCCTTCCTAAAGTGTGGCGCCCAGAACTGAACACAACACTCCCAATGGGGCCTGGCCAGGGCCGAGGACAGCAGAACTGTCTCCTCTTGAGACCACTATGTCGGGCTTAACACACCCCAAAATCACATTTACTTTCTTGCCAGCCATACCACATCATTGACTCATCTTGAGCTTGCAATCCACTAACACCCCCAGATCTTTTTCAGAAAAACTGCTAGAGCAGAATAGACCATAATGAACAGTGCTATTCAGTACCTCCAAAAAGCCACAGTTTCATAGATATGCTTTACTTGGCTGTGGCTTCCAAGTACCCACCTCTGAACCTCACTCTCTAACCACGCAATTTGGCCACCTATGCAAATGAAGAAACAAAGGCGGGTCAATAGGACTGGGGGGGGGGGAAGGGAGGGGTTGGGGGTTTTCCCTTTACTCTACTGACAGTAGCTGATAGTGCCCAGCCACAGCAGGGACATTGTGAGGACAAAGTCTGGCCGTTGACAGAGTCCAACTCAACAAAATCTGTGGGCCGTGGGGCCCCCACCCTTCTATTTCAGGAGAACAGACGCCCCCTTTGTGTACCCCTGCAAGCTGGGGGACTTGTCTTCCTTCCCGACACTGGACACTTTTCTTCTTTTCCTCCTAAGATCCTTCCTTTAACAGGACACCCCAGGCTGACGACACTGGACAACTTCTCCAATGGGAGTGTTAGGGAGGCCCTCCCTGGGAGAGAGAAGACAAGAGTGAAGAGGGAAGTGACCCGGGTTCGAATCCTGGCCTCAGCCATTTAACTAGCTGTATGACCTTGGGTGAGTCACTTAATTAACATCTCTGAGCCCCAATCTCCTTAGATGTAAGATGGAAACATAATACCTGCGTCTCAGACTTGTGTCTAAAAAGACTAAATGGAATTATTTAACCTGTCGGTCATTTATTTATCTGTGCGATAATGGGGTTGGACAAGATAACTAGATAAGGTCATGACTGGCCCTGTTCAGCTGTGATCCTGTGATGTTCAGTAAAGTACTTTGGAAAATAAGACGCTATGTAAATATCAGCTGCTTATTATTTTTAGTTTCATCTCTTCCCTGATCATGACTCATTTTACACACACACACACACACACACACACACACACACACACACATTCCCAACAGCAAAATAACCACAAATAGACCTCCACCTAGACAAAATGAAGCGATTAAGGTGCATTTCAGAGCTGAAAGAAATTCAACAAGCACTTATTAAAGTGCCACTATGTGCCACATACTGGCTGTATCACCAAAAAACAACAACAACAAAATCCCACACAATCACTGTCCTCCAGGGACATCCATTCTGTTTGGGGGGGGGGGGAGACCATCTTTTCATGACATTCAAATTCTGCCAAGTCTTACAGAATTGCTAGTGGTCCATTCTGGCTGTTGGATTCTCCTCTCATCCAGACCTGGGTCATGTGAAGCTCTCTAGCTCTACTGCTGCTTGCCATCTATTTTATAAACTAAA